CCATAGCTTTGAGTTTGATGTCTCTACCAAATGGTTGTTGCACCTCTCAAATAGCTAAAGGCATATATAATGCTTTTGCTGGTATTTACCTTAGATAATCGGAGGTATTGTTGTATGCTAAAAAGCCATTGGTATACATCTTCTTGCTTTGAAGTCCTTGAGTATGTATTGGGCTTGCTCAATTTCAGCCTAATAGATGTCAACTCCCTTATCTTAGAATCTTCTATTTATCCTTGCAAAATAGCTATTTAGTCTATGAGATATTATATCTAAGTTTCCATCTACGATTACTTTGTCATATCTCCCATCTTACAATTTTCTTACTGAAGTTTGTTATTATAATGACTTCTCTTCTTTCAACTAACTTCTTAAAGTAGCTCATTGTAGTCCCAAAATAATATCCAATGTGATCACAATAATTGATTTTCAACTAAATGGTGGCTATCAATACATTATCAAAGAATAAACTAACACTTGCTCTGATACCAATAAAACAAGACTAGATTCTTTATGGTCTAAGACCTTATCAAATCCATAATAACAAAGATCTTGACACAATATAAGACTAAGTACACTAGAATAAAATTTAAAGTAACTAAAAAAAATAGAACATAAAAGAAAAGACTGAATAAAAGAGAATAGAACCAAGTAAATCAAACAAAATTAAATAAAACAGAACAAGAAAACCAAACTTTACTAAGAGAAAGAGTTTGAAGCCATACTTGATTGAATGCCTCAAATGGCCTTATCTAATCTTATTTATTACTTATTTAACTATCATAGAACTTTCTAGAGTTTTTCTAATGGTAGGCTCTACCAAGATAATTACCTTTCTAGAAGATTTTAAATATAGATCCTACCATGATAATTACCTTAAGCCTTTTTAGAAGGTTTTATGGTAGATCCCACATGAATCTCCATGCTAATCTCAATTCTAAAAACTTTTCAAAAATAATTCCAACTATACATCTCTATATGCAAATAATACAAATATTTTATTCATGCCTTGTTACACTAAGAGTTCAACTAAGATCCACTACTACTATTAATCTAAAAGACAAAATTTAAGATCAAGGTTAATAGCCATGAAATGATCCTAAAAAGTATTTTTTTGGTGAAACTAACTACACTATTGTGTTTAAAATACATTTTTCAATATGGATTGATTACTTACATGCCATAATCTAAAAGAAATTGGAATACTTATAAAGATTAAAAATAGGCTAATTTTTATTTAAATTTAAATTATTTCTAAATTACTTATTATTTATGTCTAACTTATATTTGACATCTTTATTAACATAATTAGATTAAAGAAGTGCCACAATTAAAAAAAGATAATAAAAATAATAAAAATTAACTTACTATAAATTCATGACATATTAATTATGATTACAATCCATATCAAGATCATATAGCTAAACATTAGATTTTAAACTACCACACAAATTTTAGAGAGTTGTTAAAGCTACAATATTCCTTGTCATCTTATGATTGATTCCGCCCATATGCTATCTTTGTCTCTTATTTCTAGTCCCTTTTTCCCATACTTCTCCCTTGTTTTCTATCTTTTATTTCAAATCCCCCATCTTTATCTCCTATCCATGTTCCTCTTGTCTCCACTATTTCTAATAGAAATTCCTTCCAAATTGTGAAAGTATAGCACTACAAAGAAATCAACTTATAATTAGGAGGGCCAAAAGCCTAGAAGTAGGATAGAAAAAATATGAGTAAATCTATTCATCTAGCTAGCTAAAAATTCCAAACTCCAATCTATAAAATCCATGAATTTAACTCATGAGGCACATCTCCAAACTTAATCTAATAGAAGGCTATACTACTAACTCTATCTTAATTTTTATAATGTTGATATTACATGCAAGATCATTTTTTTGAATCTTTTGGAAAAAATCTTTGTTTGATGATAGGTGATATACTTGCAAAAATTGTGACAAAACTTTGCATTATGTAGCATTGATAACTACTTTTAGATTTTTCATTATTATTATTATTTTTAAATCAATCTCTAGGCTTATAACAAGACAACAAAACAATACTAAGGAATAAACTAAGAGCACTCAAATCCATTTTTAGATTGAGAAAAAGCTTGCAAATTAGTCAACCATTGTTGTTCTAAAGACCCATTTAGATATTGAAATAGATATAATTTTATTGCATCATCTTATCCAACAAGTTAGCTTACTCTAGATACACATGACTATCTCTAAAGATTACCAAGGCATTGGATCTTAAAATCTTATTTAATTCCAACATAATGTCTTTAATTTTGTACACGTGGCCCTCAGTAGTAAAAAGCCCTACTACATATAAAAAATTATAGGTAGGAGAATATGATGATAATGCCTTATACCAATTGTTGTTGATTTTGATCAAATTCCAATTGTATACTATGCCAAGAATATTAGGCATATAAGACAATTTTATATTTATCACTCATATAAGGTTATCAATTAGAGTTGTGGCAAAGCCTCTGTAGATTGTGTAAGCATCCATTATATTTTGGATCACATCGATATTGACTAGCACATGAAGAGACAAGAACATTGATAGAAAGAGAGTTCAAAATAGGAGACAATGAATAAGAGAGTTGAATAAAGATATAGGATTGGAAAGAAGAGATGAGAACAAAAACAAGAGGATTTGAGACAGAAAATAGGAAACAAGGGAGTTTGAGATATGTAATATGGAACAAGGGAGTTTGGAACGAGTAATAAGAAACTAAGGAAGAAACAAGAGACAAGGAATGGAGATAGATGGAATTATATATGAGATGGTAAAAAAGGTGTGACTTCAATAGCATTGAGGTGTGGCTTCAACAACTTCCAAATTTTATTCTTATCATTTCATTTATCAAATTCAATAGCATTTAAAAAACTCTAGATTTTCACTTTGATCAAACAATGATTGCATCACATTTAAACATAAAGTGACAATCCATAAAGATGAAGTTAACAAATTTATTAGCATCTTGATGGGTATTTATGAATTGGATATATTGATCTGATGTGGTAGATTATCAATCAAATTTAGTTATTTATTTAAATCACAAGCTTCATATACTATCACTTCTTGTCATTATATTACAAAGTGATAGATATGCTAGAGCTTTGAAGTAGATGGCCAAACTTCCAACTCGTCACAAATCCAGAGTTGGACAAGTGAAGAGTCATGGCCTCCAATGAAGCTGGTGACAACCTCAAATCTGGTATTACATATTGCAAGTCACCTTGTTCAAGCAAGTTAATGTACAATGCCTTTTGCATTGATTCTTTCAAGTGAAAAAGGTTGCAGTGAAATGTCTTTAGTTACTAACTAGAATTGTTTTTGAATTTTTTTTACATATTACATACCAATGTATATCAAAACATTACCTCCTCCATCATTAGATTTGGTTTTATATATATATATATATATATATATACAACTAAAAATGCCAAAATTGAAAATTAACACATTATGTTTTTTTTAATTGCAAGATGTGTGCTGAATTTTGTACTTGATAAATTTGACAAATGAGTTTAGAGTGATACTAATAATATCACCATTTATCATATTGAATTTTGCAAAAAAATTATTGAAACTGTTTGAAATTATAATTTGATCTTTGACTTAAATTTAAAATTACTTGAACTTAGCTATTTCAATTTCACTTCAGAAAAAATCAAAAAACAAACAAACAAACGAAAAAACGAAAAAAAAATAAATAAATAAATGTAACTGTTATGAGTGAGTAATTATAAGTTTTTTTTTAATAATTTTACAAATTGAACTTTGATTTTTAAATTACAAAAATAAATTTCAAGTAATATGAATTAGTACTTTGTCAAATTTTAAAAGTTCATTTTAACAGCAGTAGTTTGATAAAAGCTGAAATAAATTTCTACTTGCATTTCATTAATCTGGTACCAAAACTCAATTCTATCTGTGTTATTTCAGCATGCTAGTGCATTATGACAAATCAGCAATATTAAATTAGTTGATTTCAGAGAAAGTTATATGAAAAGTTGCCATAATTTCACAGGTACAATGACATATATTAAACTTTAAAATTCAAGGTATGTAGCTCACTGTAAATTGCTTGATTTTGACATCATTGGTAAATGTTATATTGGCAATTTAAAATTTAAAATTTAAAACGCCTAATTCGGGAATGGATCAAAAATTATGTTAAAAGAGATTTCTCTAACATTCTTTTGAATCATCTACTATGTCATATGCTGAAATAGTAATTAATCGATAGTATTCAGAAATTGTTATTTTTTTGTTAAGACATTTATTGAATTGAAAATAAGTTGAAACTACATTGAATACATGTAATAAAGATATGTGTATGACATGTAAATGGATAATTAATTATATGCATGTACATGATGCACTAGAATGTACCCAATTTTGTGTAGTGAAGAGAATTCATTAAGTGTAGAATGATATTCAATGATACGAACAATGTGTACATATGCAGTTTCTTCTTGATATTACATCATGCAAATGACCAGACGTGCAGCAGATTGACACATGCTGTCTTTGAAATCAGAAGTCTAATCATCCTATAGAATGTAGAAGAACAAACAAGAATACGATAATTTATAAATTGACTAATTCCATTTAGATTCATGAATGTCATTCCCAAGTAACCTGCATTTCAACAGTTTTTGTGATGCACATTCTATGCAATGTTATGGATATTACATACAGCATACTTTTCAATTTCTAAGCACATTTTCTCAATTTTGGAACATGAATCTAATAGATGAAGAGATCTCTTCCCTTACGTTCTCAGCAATACTCAACATACACCAGCTTAAATGGTGTAAAATGGACACGTCCCTCAATAAGTTGCAAGACATACATCACTTAGGACATGGAATCCTCTGGTGTGCATTTGTTCACATAAGAGCAACTTCACAAAAATTGAGTTTCGGTGCACGACTCCAACTGGAACCCTGTAATTAGGATACATAGTGTCACCGCAAACAGTAGACATGTACAAGCTTGTGGCTGCAACCAGCAACTTGTTATTACACGAAAGGTACATAAATAGATTTTAAATGTGACTGGTCACACTTCACTAAGGTATTCTAAGCTTCAATAACTTTTCTGCCAGTCATGGTTCCCAGAAAACAGTTTCCCTGGTGAAGGCAGTGAAGGCTTTGAAATCAGTAAACGGTATGCTTCTTCAAGCGGATGGATACAGTCCTTTGGTTGGAAGAGACCATAGTGTTAAATGTTCCCCGTCTATTGCTGTCTTGAAGAATATGAGAAGTGACTGACGAGTTTATCCTTGAAAACGGATCCGAGTCCATTATCTTCCGTCATGTTAACGGCTGAAGGTATCTAACCCAGTAATAGTAAGGTAGAGCCGTTTGGCCACCCTAACAGAACACACTGCAAACTGGTGTGAAAGAGTCATGTACATTGTCTATTAATCAAGACTCCATAGAAAGAAGTGCATTCCCACCTAAGATAAAGCACACTTGGTAAAATTACCAAGACCAGAAAGGTATCTACAACAAACTTTTTCTGTTTCTGAGACTTACGCACACTACGAGGCATGGTAAGGCATTTCGCCCCACAAAAATGAAATTACCTTCAATAAATGAAAAACGGATGAATAAAGAAACATCTTATTCAAGGCCAGTGGCTCCACATGGCTGGTCGATTTCTTGATACGAGCAGGACGCGTGAGCTTGCGAAATCAAAAGTGGGATTCCGCAGGTCATCCGGACCAAGCACATCCCGAACGTTTGAAATGCCTTGCCCAGAATGTCGTCTTGCAGGTTCAAACACAAATAGTCCATTCCCGTTAGCCGCCATGATGGTATCTGATGAGCCCCATACTTGCGAGATGGAAAGCTGGGAAGCATAGGAATTCGAATGTGGTAGAGAATAAACGTTCATGAGCTTCCCTTGCCGCATCGACCACTGGCTGAGTCTGCAATGTGGTTGCAGTACTCTTGTTCCATCCCCTAGAGTTCTGGATTCGTAGGTGAGGGCACCAGAGTAAACAGCATCTCCATCAGCATAGATAGACTGAGTTTCCTCGTCCAGAGTTGGAAACTTCTTGGCAATGCCCGTAGGTACTCTAAAATCAAGGACATTCACTGCCTCATTGGTGCAAAGTGTTCCATCACTATGATGATCGGACGAGCTCAACCTGCATAAGAACAACAATTTTTCAGAGGGAGTTAGAGAACTGCAATTTTGCATTAATAGTGTGCATGTAAGGCAAGAATCAAGATATCACATCTAACGGATAACCATCTACATACGACATACGACATCTTCGAAATTCTTCACGTTTCTCATTATGTAGGAAAATCGAGAGTGAAACATCAACAAACAACGAGAAACGGATCACACTAAAGTCATCAGGAAAGGACTCCTAAGCGGCAACATAGCGAAAGTTGTGTTACCTCTGTCGCACGCCGCCACTGCACTCAGCATCAACGTTGTATACATGCAGGGCACGCAACTGCTTCCCAAGCAAATTAACGGTATGAATACGCTTGGCTTCCAAGCTCTCAACATCCCAGAAGCTGAGACACTCAAGTTCTGCCAGAACGAGCTTGCCTGACCATTGGAGAAAACGATCTTAGACTCTGAACGAAGTGATACAAGAGAAACAGTGACAGTGCTAATCAAAATATTTTGGGCAATAACGGCAATCATTGCGGGAATTAACATTGATTCTGTCTACTTTACCAATGCACAATCCACCCTGCACCAAAACTCAATGAAAAACAGTTACGCAACCCTACTCAGTTACTCAAAAACTAACTAGAGATGTTCAACTGTCCGTACTTTTGTTACGCCATTGCAGAGGGCTACTGTAAGCCATAGCTGCTACAACCTTCTGTGTCTCCCAACGCATCACTGACTCGCCATCCCGAATATCATACAATGAGACAGTAGTCAATCCACTCGCAGCCGAAGCTAAGAGTGGTCCGCATGGTCTGTACCACCAAAGTGGTTGACTAGTACACTTGTTTTGCATCTCTTCCGCAACGTTTCGTTTCCTAAAAGAGTTGTCAAGAGACGTAGATCTGTCGAACGTTTTCTTGGTTGCAGCACTCCCACCTAATTTTGGCATATTGACAGCACCAGACCTGTCCAACCATTTTCTCAGTGCAAAGTTGGATCCAGGAACGCTAGGGTCTTTCACAAATGACGATCCTTGATCGAAGCTACTGGCCCGTCCGCTGCGACCCCTAGGAGGACTGGGTACCGAGGAAGATTGATGATGAGAGGCGACACATTTCCGACTGTGAAAATCCCATGAACAGAAAGCTGAGTCTTTTGACCCACTTGCCGAAGCAGCAACAACGAACTTGTTGGCACGGCCATCTGAGCCTGGGGCTCGTACAATCCAGCAGTCCCCCCACACACGCGACGTCAAAGTAGTAGGACCGCGATAAATAGCCTTCTCCTGCAATTTACGAAACAGGCAGAAAGGCATAAAACACCTAATAATCCTGTATGAACACATTCTTCCTCTAGAAATCAATAGAAACGCTCACGGTGTCTTTTACTCCAACGCAAGGTATGACATGTTAAGTTCCTACAAGAATGATGTGCTTGGAATCAAAGAGAAAATCGGCAATAAATAATACCTCCATGTTAGCAACGTCGTGATAGGAGCAACTGGAGTCCTCGTGAGCAAGTAGTATTCCTTCACCCTCGCACACAAACCATCCTGCAGTGGAGTTCTTTTCACTTAAATTGAGAAGCTTTTTTCCGGCTATTTTCCTCAGCCCTTCCTCATCGTTTCTGGCAACTGATGTCAACACAGATAAGTCACCCACTTCCTCAGCTTCAACATGCCCAAACTTATCACACCGCAAGTCGTTGGTAGAGATGGGTTCATTGATGACCTCCCCCTCGCTTGTTCTGAACTGCATCGGCTGCCTGCTGAGTTCAGATTTTGGCAACTGCCTAGAGATATGACTTCCATCTGACAATTTCAGATGATTGATGTCTGCGAATTCGCTACCAATGCTAAGAGTTGAACAAGGATTTTCAGTCGCTTCTCCAGCCGATTGGTGATAGGATGGAGACGAATACTCACTTGATGAAGAATCACTAGCCTCATCTGAATACCTGTGCTTCCTAAATGAGAGGACGCTGCCGCTAGATGAACTATTCTCTGTGAGGTAATGCAAAATGCTTGGGTCAGTGTGAGATGAAGCCAAATCAATAGCACCTATTACGAATGTCCCACCTTCATCGAACTCTAGCGGGGGCATCGACAGTTCAACGCGTTACGACAAGGGTATATAAATAGTAAATGATCACAAGTGGAATCTAGATTCAAAACCGAAAATTAAGACTCGTACCTCCCCGCTCCGTCCAAGTAGTGTTACGATTTCAGAGATGCGCTTACATACGGCAATTCAAAGTATTCCGAATTGATCAACACTAGAGGGATTATCATCTCTCTCCGTGAACTAGAATGTACTTATATTCTACACATGTCATGTATGTTCACAATTTGTTGCACGAGCAGATGTCAAACGAATCAATCGCACACCTCCTTACCTGACGATTCTGGAAGTGGTAAGGAAGACTTTCGTTCTTTCAATGGCGCCTTCAATGTCTCAAGTGGCTTTCCAACTTCCTTCTGGAAACATCGCTCACCATCGAGGGAAGTTAAAAATTCCGCAGCCACTAATGCACCTTCATCACAAGCACCAGCGTCCACTCGGCCTCTTCCCCCAAACTCTGCCAGCTTCATGCAGAGGAGCTCTCGGTCCTCTTTCGACTTTTCGTGCTGTGATACAAGGCTCTCTACAACTTTCTGGTGCAGAGACGGTCTAGTCTTCAATGGCTTAAGGGTCTGAGTAGGGTTATCGCTGTAGTAATCCTCAAAGATGGGCTGGGCATTGTCATGGCTAATGGTTTCCAACCTAGAATGGTCCGTCTCAAGACGCTCGTGAGGTTTGGACGTGGTGGTGATGCTGAGCCGTGAACCTGGAGCTTGTCTGTCGTAGTGTGCCTTCATCTTTGCCTCCAAAGCTGGAGAATCCTTGGGAAAACGCATAGACGAAGACCGTTGAGGCAAGAGCTCTGAGTCCATCACATTGTGGCGATGAGAGCTAGTAAGGGACTGCAATGCCTTTTTGAATCCCTCTTTCTCAGTGAGAATTCTTTCGCGCAAGCTAGCGCTGTCTATGCCGCCAGAAGAGAACCTGCCTGACCTGCTCGAGACCGAACTCTCTACTGGTGAACCAGTCATGCACCTCTCTATATTGGTGATTTTCGAATGAATATCTGTGAGTAAGACTTTGGAGGAGATTGGATTACTGGCGTCTAGAAGTTCCTTTGTCTCACGAAGCTCGGCGGCCATTTGACTAACTCTGCCTTCCAGCAAGGATAAGCGGCCATGGAGAGAACTCTGTATGCTGCTTAACCCTTCCTCCTCTTCCTCCTCCTGTGGCTCTACCTTCGCGGACAGCCTCACTAGATCTGAATTCGTTGACTTTCTAGAACCAATTTGGATAACCGGGGAAGACCTCACACTCTTCACACTCGCGACAGACAAGGGAGATGCTTTGGCCACGATCTTGTTCTCTCCAGATCGTCTTCTAGCGACCGCAGCCTGCAATGGAGAGTTGGTGGAAACAATCTTGTTCGGTCCTGGCCTACTCGAAGCTTTTCCAGCCGTCAAAGCCATCTTGGACAGAGATTCATCGCGATATATTTGCAGGGCAGGAGAACCCTTGGAGGTGGCAGCCAAGTGACTAGAACGCAGCACAGGCGAGGCGGCTCTCGCTAAGATGCTTTTTTCAGTGACTGCCAGAGACCCTGGCCTTTTCGAATTCACGGAGGAAGCTCGAGGAGTGGAACGTCGCGAGGAAGACAGCAGCACTGACTGCTGCTCGACATCGCGCAATGCACCTCGAGCTCGCACCGCGATGGGCTTGTTATCAAAATCCCAGCTGGCGCTACGCTGCCTATCAGTCCTGCGAGTCCTACTTATTCCTCGACATCCCACTTGGACCTCATCTCCTTTCGCAGTCGTTCTCCTGGTACCAACAGAGGACTGAGCAGCATCTTGAACACCCTTCTCCCTCTGATCGACTTTTGCTCGAACTTTGTTCATCCTGCAGTCGTAGCGTGCCCGTCCGCACTTCCAGTGAGTGCAGGTATTCTGATTCCTACGCAATACTGCCGTCCCGAATCCTGCGTACCAACATCATGAACTGCCAACCCGGAACCTGGACGTGCAAGGATCCACCAAATCCTCACAACGGTTCGCTCGGACTCATTCGACGAGTCCGGTATTCACCCATCCTGTCAACCCAATCTTATCCTATGTCCTTCACCACCCGCATCAATTTCACGACCTCCCCTTACTTCCCATGAAGTCCCACCTAATCCACAGGACTATCACAGTCGACACTATTCGACACAGTTTTCTTTCCTCACACAAATTCCGACAACGCATCCATACTCCACCCTAATTCAACAATTCAAACGCAATCCAACTCCTTACACCGATCTGTCGGCTCACCCTACAATTCCCGCCAGCCTCTCCACATCACAACCCGAAGTCTCTGTAAAATGTATCAACGTCCAAGATTACACGTCAATGCACTCCGCTAGATCACCCAGTGACCCGAGATGTAAAACACCAGCGGCACGGGAAATTCAAACCAACTTCCTTCTTGTCCTTTTCCTCTCTCTCTCTCTCTCCCTCTCCTTCCCTCTCTCGCCCTCGCTCTCTCTCTCGCTCACTCTCTCACGCTATTCGACAAGGCCAGACAAACACATCGGACACGATGCTACAGAACCCCAGAACTGCCACATCCAATTTGTTCAGACCACACGTACATATGAACCTATGTATCCGCGCCCTGCTGATAACACAACGACTAGCACTGACTCAGATTTCAAGGCAGGACAAATGGAAGAGTGGCAGAGGGAGGAGGAGAAGAATGAAACCAGGAGAGGCGGGGAAACATAATTTTCAAAATACTGGCCCCTGTGTCGCTCGCTCCCTCCCTCCCTCCTTCCCTCTCACACTCCCACACACGAATCGATGCCTCGCAGAGTTACGACCACAAGCCTCGTGGCGAGACTCGGTCCGGCTACACACTTTTCCCACACACACCAAGACAACTCCTCTGTTGGAGCGGCTTAACATGAAAGAAAGGTCATTGCCATCCCTCAACACATAATTCCGGCGCTTGTTCAGTAGAATTTGGCGGGACAGGGCGGGGCGGGGCGGGACGAGGGGAGGCGGGACGGGGCATAGCGCGGGCCGAGAGAGACAGCCTGGATGGAGCATTCGGCTTCCAACGGGTCTCTCCCCAGGAACAAGAAACCAGCTTTCGTCCGCTTCCATCGTTCGTTCGCTCGACGGAAATGACTTCATCCGCCCACTATCGAATCAGACATTCATCTACTTGGTTTGTTTCCTGGATTAGGCTCCATGAGCACATCCCCCCTTATAGGCTTGTCTCGCCTTCACTTCATTTGGACAGTCAACACATCCCTAGCTATTTTAAGCACTTTTTGGCCTGAAATAGCATACCACTTTAAAAAGAAAAACAGTTTTCTTCTCTTCACTTTTTCTCTTTTTTGAAAAAAATCAGTCTTGGGAAATTTTAGATTGGGGAAAGGAGGGTAGGATAGAGAATAACATTTGCCATGAAGATAGGGTTCTTATTTTATTAACTTCTGTGTTTTCCAAGAGGCAAATTGCGTGACTTCAAAATTGTTGTGACCTCCCACAAAGGAAAATCTCCTCATTGTATAATGGTAGTGTGAACTAACTACCTTCAAGGTTCCTTGATCATATGTTTTTGAAGTGTGCAAGTTAATGGATTTGGCAAAACCCATGCACAGTGTGTATCATAGCTTTTACTTTTAGAAAGAATGTTTCTCAAGAAACAAAAGTGAAAACCCAGCTTCCTTTAGACAGCTTGAAACTGCTTTGAAAATAATGCCAAACTATGAGGGAGAGACAACAATGAATTAAACATGCAATAATCTAATGTAAAAGAAGATGGTACTCAGGACCCATCATTATGCTTGTGCAGACACACATACACACACACACACACATCAAAACTCACCACCCTACAAAAGCAACAATCCTGTTTTCCTTAGCATTAGGACTAGAGTATTTCCAAAGCATGAGGGTATGAAGTTCATGGTGATGTCACCCCACCAAAAAGGTAAGAAAAAAAGAGAAAGAAAAGGAGTGAAAAAGGAGTTGCTGCAATGAAAACACACAAAATAAATAAATAAAAAGGTACAAGAACAGTTCCACACAACTTCAGAGACTGTGTGGAATGGCCCAATATTCAAATTCCCACAAATCACTCACTCTTTCTCTCTCCCTTCCTGTTACTGTTTGCCTCCAACCTCCGTAGGGCAGTGCATGTGTGTGTGGACCTGCCACACTGCGCCTTGGATGTTGCAAGTTTAAAAATGAGTGAAATTTGAATTTGAAATTTTGGTTCCATAGCCTAAATGGCCACTTTGTCTGTTGCTTCATCTCTCTAGAGAGCAAGAGAATAAGAACAAGAGAGAGAGAGAGCAGTCAAGAGGTTTTCAGCTGGAAAAGTGGGGTGGCAGCTTTCCCCCAAAATCCTAATTTATCTACACTGGGATGTCTGTAAAGGATGGATATAGACATGACTGAACTGGACAGTGATGAGGACAAAGGAAGAATGCCACAGAAGCCCGCATTGTGGATGGAAATATGTCTATCTATGTGCAGTGAGTTTCTGAATGGCATCTACCCACTTGGTTCCACAATAAGTAACAAATCCACAAGTTGCTCATTTGAAATATTTATAGCTCTTAGAGGAGATTACTTGCAGTTCCTTGTAACCTGTATGGCCTTTACTTATTGGATATTGTGATATGATGCACACCATGTACAATTTGCCATGAAATAATGCCATAAATTTTAAGGTTCTCTCTCATGATTTCTGTGAGCTAGATAGATAGATAGATAGATAGAATAAACAACAGTCTTCATGAAATGAAAATGATTACTTCTAATATTGATGCTTGCATGTGTAAACAAATCTTTTTATACTTCAACCCAGAAAGAAACAAACCCGCACATATAAAACAAATAGATCAAGGAGTCAGTATTTAAGATGACCAAAACAACTATACACTTTGGCCATGTTTCTTATGGACAACATGAATATCATATATTTGTATTGTGATTTCTAGGTCCACTGAGTTGCTTTTAATCACAGGGTGACACACAATTACCTTCACACTTTTCATGTGTGTGTGTATATCACATTGATCTTTCTTTATTCATTAAACCACTGGATTGACAGTGTAGAAAATCTTCATTAGGAAGATTGTGTACAGAAGGAATTTCATTGTATCTCTATGATCTACACTCACTTACAAAAGTCACAACTTGCATGATCACAGCATTTTTGACCATCAAAACAATGTACCATGATATATTTGTTTACATGATCAAATGAATGGATGGAAAAATCAAAAATCAAAATCAAAATCAAGAGAAAACAAGGAAATAAGGTTTCTGATGATATGTGAGATATTTTAATCTGCATGTTTGAAACAAATTTGAGATTATGTCTATGTATACATGCACATATACTTTCTTTACTGCTTCTTTTTTGCACAACATAAATATGTAGAAATATAACAATGATAAATAAATAGAAATCAGTATTATATAATTCATATGGATTTATGCACCATGAATTTTTTATTCTATGCTTACAATAGAAACATTTTTGTTTTGTTGTCTTTACATCATTGTATGCTCAAGGGGAAGTGACAGCTATAAAGTGGATGAGGATGACATTTTTAAATAATTTTTGTCTCTGTGGTACTGACATTATTATATGAAACTAGTTTGATAACAAATGTAAGTTCTAGTGTGGTTGAATTGTAATGTGACTAGGTTAAAATTGAAAAATTGCTCCTTACTTCAATTAGGTTATCCTTGTACAAATTCAATGTTTTATTGCATATCATATAGGGGTATAGTTTAAATGACAGGAATTTTGGAAAATGGAAAAAAATAAAAATAAAAATACAATCAGCTATTAGCTTATACAGATTCATACATTTTTAAATATTGTAAATATCATGAATATCTTATAAAGCATTATATTTTTCAACTTCACATGTTGAAATTTAGTATGGAATGAGTCGATTCTTAAATTCAAATTTTAGCTTATTTATGTGTATATATTGTGTGAAATGAAGAATCTGAAGAGCATAATGTTGTTTGAAAAAGATAGTAAGTGTTCTTGTAGCATTTCTAAATAATAATACAAATATAATCATGAAATCAAGTGGTATTTAAAGTCACGAGTAAACATGCTTTACTCCTAAAACTATCAAAAGTTTTGAAATTTTTATATGATACCAATTTTTTTAAGGGGAAAAAATCACTGCATTACAGCTAAAGATCATATATACATTCACATGATGTGAAGTAACAAATATGATATTGTAAACTCTGAAGTCTGTCAATCTTTACATTTGTATGTAAAAACATACATACATAGTGTTCAATCCTCAAATGAAAAAACACATGTGATAGACATATGTTACATATAAAAAAGATAGATAAATAATTTCAGAGACACATGCATATACAAACATTAAGTGAATAAAACATGGTTAAAAACTTGATACCTTGATATACACAATCATTTGCAAGATAGAATCCATGAAATTATGATACAAATTGTGCAGCATATAAGTTAAATACACTTAATTTCTCAAATAATTGAGTAACATGTCTGGCTTTACTTGTCACTTCTTATTGCAACAAATTCATTCAATTAATATTATGAATAAAATAAAAATGAAACAGCATAATTTTATGGTCTCATCTAATTTGAGTTTGTTTTTATTTATTTATTTATTTATTTACTCATATTTTAGGAGCTTATCCGAAAATTATTTCTTTTTAACCAACTATCAAAATGGTGCTTAGTACAGGGGCAGTCAATCAAACTGGAGCACGCGGAGGAATTAAATTGGAACATTTTCTGTCAACGAAACAAGCGACGGAAGTCGAAAACATCTGATCCCAGTACTCATATTCATCCATCTTTTGCTCTCTGGTGTACCGGTCAGAGTAGCGGGTTAGTGTCTCCAACGGGGGATTAGACCACTCCAGCATTCTGGATTCAGGTGGACTTTATCCCTAGTGCAACAACACACAACGACCTCATCATTGGGAGAGACCAACGAAAGGAATTTATCGACATAACCATTTGAATGGATGATAATCCAGAGAGGCACGACCGAAATGGGATGCTCACTGAACTAAATTGCACAAACAGTGAATAACGGGTTCCGAAAGAAGAGTCACAAATAAACCCCCGTAATGGCCACCTCTCCGTCGATCCCTCCTGGCATTCAGATTGGCCAGGAGAGACCTCTCAGCAAAAGACGCCAGGCGAGGGGAACGGGGTCGGGCCGGGCGGGGCCACCGGGGGGGGGGGAGAAGGGACGGGTGGCCCGCCAGGAACAGAAAGATGTGGCTGGGACTTGGTGGAGCCCGGTTAGGTCTAGCCTGTGCCCGATGGCACCAACCGTAAGGCTCTATAGATAGCTTCTTTCACACTGGGCAGTGTAATATTAAATGAGGGTGGTTAGAGAAGGGGTTATTTGGATGAGGAAGCCCCCTTGCGAGTTATTTGTTGGCCCGATCCAAATACAGGGGGCTGCCCACATGTGCCAGCCATCACCCCTCGGCCTCCGTCAGGAACCCTAAACCCGCTTGTCCAGGGTGGTAGTCGGAGCAATCATTCCCCAGATCGGGTGCGCGGGCGTTCCCAATCATGGGAGCGTGATGTGCTTTTTTGCGGGGGTGTGCCGTGCCGTGCCGTAGGGTGGCATCCAACGTGGCATGATGCCTTGATCCCCGTCCTCTCTCCTTTTATTCTGCCCCTCTAGCAAGTTTCCAGGCCAGAATTGTCCTCCTCCTCCTCTTTCTCGCCTTCTGTTTTGTTGTGTGTATGTTTTTGAACTGCCTGTGGCGGTTCCTGGAGCCTACAATTTTCAAAAAACTGTCTCGGACTTGGATTCATCGTGAGCAAGTCCACGGAAGCCACCTTGCTGTTGCAGAATTGTTACTCCCAATGCCATTTGAATTTCAATTTAGGGTTTTGAGAGTCGAGCCCAATTAGCAACTCAGTGAGGTGCTTTGAATCGTTT